TATAATCAAATTTTATTTATTAGACATAAGAACAATTTTGAGATTTTAATTTAATTGAAATTTGAGAATTAAATTTTGTTCTTTGGACAATGCATGTCGTCACATTAATCAACTTTGTAAAAAATAAAAACATTTATAAAGTTAGACTTACTAGAGCAGAAATTAATGCGTTTAAAATAGAGATCGTGCACGAATTTAACATCACGTGTAGGAACAGAGTTATGGCCAGCAGCTCAAAAGTCGGCGATTGCTGTGTTTCGAACGGAAATTGCACCTTAATAGGAAGCTGTCGCAAGGTATTGTTGTAGTCTCGGGACACATACATGAAACGAATTGCGTAACCGCCCAAGAGGTAAAACATCGCAGTAATTGTATTAATACTGAACGTAAGATTAGAACAAAAATGCGATATATTGGCTTTCATTGTCATCACGTATAAATGCTGTTCAATATTAGTGCATTCGCGCCAATCGGTATCCATAGCGGCCAGGAGTTGATGAATGACTCTGGAATGTGTTACTTTACTGAAACTTTAACTAAACAGACGTAAGAATAGAAATAGTACAGTGTGAGACACTATAAAGTATAAATTATTACTCGAATTAAGGTTTAGAGCTAGATAGAATTAAGATACGTTTCGATATTTGTTATAGAAGATTTAATCGCAGATCACAACAAATATTAAGAAATTAATTCATAATTTTGTATCTCAAACAGGAATTGGATGAAGCAACGTTTGCAGCGACACAACATCTTACCGACGATGTGCCCAAAGGCTGGCCACTTTAAAAATTGTTAAGCTGTAATCTAAAGCCGCGGGTAAGCTATCAACAAGATTCGAAAGCTCGCTGATCTCGAAGTGCTCGTATATGTATCGATATTGGAAGTACTGTATGACAAGTATACTGAATATATAAATTAGCCAATACGGGATGAAATACGATACACCCGGCCACACACCGAGCAACTGAAGGCCGATCTTCAAAACCGGACTGACGGTACTTGTGACTATCATTCGTAAACAGTATTCGAAGATCACGAAGAAATGAAGATAAGAATCGGCACATTTATCCGGCACTCCGAGAGAGAACTGAAGGAGCACTGACAGTTTTCTCAAATGCAAACCTCGCAGTGCATCCCCCACTCGCGTAAATGTGAATCAATCGTCATTATGCATTGCGTATAGCATAACAGCAAATCGAGATAGAACTCATTATTTTTATGGATATCCTATAATTCTGTTGATAGTCTAAGAACGTATAATACCCATAAAGTAACGAAGATATCTTGAACGCAGAATGAACAATTCAATGCGTAATTATTAGTTCCTTTTTTTACAAACTTGTCTCTTGGCAACACACATCTATCGAAAAGAAAAAAAATGTCCACTATATTCTGTACATCAGAAAAATCGTTAAACGTACAGCAGCATCAACTACAATTATACATTAGGTATTCTATGCGAACGGAACTGAAATTATATTCGTGCAGTTCAACCTCCGGTTTTTTTTAAGAGCTAATGTGAGGGGAGAACAACAGAATGGGGATATAATGATGAATAATTTTTTTAAATGACATTTCTGGGAATGTTATCGTGCAGAAAACTTGCTCAAGGAAGAAATTTCAAAATTAAAAACTTTTAAATTAAAGGTATTATAAACATTTTGTTTCAAATATGCCTATACCTAACGGAATATGCCAATACAAACATTACAAACTGAACGATACGATTTTCTAATAAAAGGTCAATGCCCGAGAATAATGAACGTATTCCGCAAAAATATGATTCAAAATAACAACATGCAAAGGAATAATAATATACAAAAAATATTTACATTTATATTATACGTAATTTTAATTTATCTAATTTATTAACTAATAACTAAATAACTTAATAACCAATAAATAACAATTATCAACCTCTTAATAACAATTTAATTTTAAATTCATTATCAATAATTTTTTAACTTATATTATTTCAGTAAATGTTAATTACATTTTTATTTGTATCAAGACATAAGGCGTCAATATCATATATGTTTGTTCTGAACGTTAGGTCAGAACAAACATATATGATACTGACGCCTTCATGATTTGGAAAAGTAGAAATACAGAGATATAAAGTTTGATCTACAAATTATACTTATGCAAAAAGGACACATATATAGCAACAGATTTTAAAATTAAATATATGTTTATATATTTTTTATGTATTATAATAAACATTATATATAATATATAAGTATTATATATTATATAAATAATACATTATAATATATTATTTATTATAATATATAAAATATATTTAATGTACATAATATAGAAACAGTGTCAACTTTTTAAAATGTTTAATATTGTAATTTCTCACAGTATTGAATTACTGATCTTAAAACTAAGGTATTCACCAGCAAAGCAAACGATAAAAGCTTCTATCATTACGGCAATGTAAGCCAAAATGGCTTTCACAAACACAAAGATATCGGTTTTGTTATGAAAGGATTGTTTCAATGAACAATAGAAAAATATATATAACTTACAACATTGAACATAATGTGCATTTACGATAATATACTCACAATTATGATAATAAATTCTAAACAGCAAATAATAATAAGTCTTCCAAACAACTTGCATCAACGCAATAAAGGCGAATCATTCCTCAATGTTCTCTGAAAATGTGTAGACTTTGCTGTGCCTTGCGATCAGTATTCCTAATGTAAATGCGGAAGATCGATGAGGAAAAATCGTTCTCGGAAATATTTCTCAACTCTTGACATATATCAATTTGTCCACTTCCGTGAAGAACCTAAAATGTACTCAAACTGCTGCAAAGATTCCAAGCACTATATGTGAAAATATTATATTTTTTACTGTGAAGAATACATGTTTGCTATAAAAGAATTTTCAAATGTTCATTCTCATATTTCATTACCCAAGCCTATCTTTTTCAAATGTAATATTCTTTTCATTTTTATGTCTTCAAATGAAGTACACATATAATAATACTCCACAGTTTTGTAAGTTGTAAGAAAATTTTGCAAATAATATACAGTTAAATTTTCATGCAATAATGTCCTTGGATCTCAACTTGCTTTAAATTCTCTTGTCAGTTTTATAATACAACAGAAAAAGCGAATTTAAAATTGTAAAACTTATCAAAGTAAAAATAATTAATCCGTTTAGAACGGCGACTTTAAACGAGATTAATATCAGGTGTAGAAATAGAGTTACGAACAACAGCTCGAAAATCGGCGATTGCTCAGTTTCAAAGGGAAGTAGCATCTTAATAGAGAGCTGCCACATAGTATCATTGTAATCTTCGGTTGAATATAGGTAAAACGAATTGCGTAGTCGCCCAAAACATAAAGCACTGCAGCAAGTTGAAGCTCAACATAGCGTTGGAATAGAAATGAGATATACCGGCCTTAATCGTCATCATATTCAAACGCTGATCGATGATGACGCACTCGCGCCAGTCATCGTTCATAGCGGTAAGTATTTTATGAAAAACTCTGCAAGATGTTAGTTCGATTTGTCAGTCAATTAACGCGAATAGAAACATTACTCTCTTCTGAAATCGATACACTGATGATTATATGATAAGTGTGGTATTAATTAAGACTTCTTTAATTAGAATAGCTCATCATCATCATCACGAAAATAAAATACATAGTTTCTTATAATCAAATTTTTCGGCGATATAATATAGATTTATTATTACATATGCGACGTGATATCTTAACGATGATGTATCCATAGATTGGTTAATTTGAGAAACGACCAACTGTAATCTAAAGTCAAGGACAAGCCATTGACGAGATTCGACAGCTCGCTGATGTTAAAGTGCTCAAGTATGTACAGATATTGAAAATACTGTATGATCAGTATATTCAACATAAAAAGCTAATGAACGATGAAATGCGACACATTCAGCCATACACCAAGCAACCGAAGGCCAATTTTCAGCGCCGGATTAACGACACTCTTGGCTACTTTGTTAATAATTTGGAAAACGCGAGGATACGAAGATCAGCGGACATCTGTCCGCTGTTATCATAAGAAAAAATTGATAGAGCACTAGCAGTTTCCCCAAGTGCACCCCCATGTATACGGTACACCAAGTGCATCCTTACTCATGTGAATACGGATCAATCACTATCATAGATACATTGTGTAGTATAACAGCAATTCATAGTAAAATTATCTCATACGAGCATTCTATATTTCTTTGGCGGTCTCATAATGTGTACCATAAAATAGCAAAAAATTGTGCGTTAAAAACCATCTCTTCCCTGGCAATGCCACTGGCAATGCCACATCGTCGACAAAAAAAACGGATGTGCACTATTTTCTAGATGTCACGATAATTGTTGAACATAGGACAGTTTGAAAGTTCATAATTATATTAAGGTATTCTCGACGACGGAAATGAATTGTATTCGTGGCATCGATCGCGAATTTTTAAATAGACAAAATAGGAAGAAGTATTGCATGTTCCTCAGATGTATCAAATTCGTATAGTATAATAATGTGAGCAATTTCCTCTAATAACGTAAATATTGAATTTTTACAGAGAGAACAGGTGTGCAGCGGAAACTCAAAAAATTGAAATTAACCGGACGTATTACTTGGTTATACAAGCACAAATAAAGAGATATGTAGACATAAATTGCACATATACAGATCTCTAAATAAAGTGTCGATACTTGATATGGTCGATACGATGAAAAACTACGTTCTTCTTTCTCTTTCCTTCTTTTTCTTTTTTCTCGGAAAGAGTATACTTTAATATACACAAGAAAATAAAGCAAAAAGTAAGTAAAAAGATGTAATATGAATATTGAAATTTAAATTAAATTAAATATAATTCTAGATTGCGTAACCTATAGATATTAAAACTCATAAAAATTTAAAACTATTAATTTATAGAAACAATTTAATTATTAATAATATTTCCTCTATATATATTAACATTTTATACTAACAATACTATAATAACATTGCGAGTTCAACAAATCACTGTTTGTTAATGTCAATACATTGCGTTTAAGACAGACACGTATGAGGCTGATGCTTTTATAATCTAAAAAAAATTAAAATTTAATTTGTAAACACAAACACGTGTATATTTTTATTTAAAAAGTTCAATTTAATTATTAAGCAAATGATTCCAGAAGCTTACATGCGTGAAAGTTTCCAAAGATAAATTTGTGATTTTTCCTGCCGTGATGACGAATTGTTTTTGAGATCTCATTATTATGAACATTACAATCTTCCTTTGATTTAACGGTAAATCGTACCACAGAGATTCGTATGCTGCATCGGCGATTGATTTACTCTAAAAATAATTTAAAAATTTATTAATGATAGCAAAACAATTTCTTCCTATTCAAACAAATGTTATATGGAAGACTTTTTTATATAAAAGATTAAATTATTCATAATTTTCTTTTTATTGTACAAAAATTTTAAAATTTGGAATAAAAGAGGTACACCTATACCGTTTAATGTGGAAGCAGAGTGTTATAGAGTACCATCATAAAACGTTCAGAATACAATTGAAAGTAACAATATATATAAATTATAAAGAGTTAATAACTTCCATTGTTGGAATAAAAAAACTTTATATTCGCAATAAACAGTTAATTAATTCGTATACTATGTTAAGTTTACAATAATTTTTATATAGGGTGTCCGGTACTCAATGGTAAAGCGCTCGGAAGTAGATAGAATGGGGCTAAACTGTATCGAAAAGTCCTTTACCATTTAATAAATAATTTACGCCAAATATATGTATAAAAAAGTATCGTACATTACATCTTTCCTAAACCAAAATTATTATTTTAACAAATAAAAGTTGTCCAAAAACAAATATGAGATCATACAAGTTACTAAGTATATTTGATTAGACATAAAGACAAAAATATTTTATTCCAAACCAAAAATATTTTTTTAATAAACCATTTAAACCATCCAAAAGTATATACAGCAAAAATTTAATGCCAATGTCTCTTCAAATAATTTAAGTTTTAGAAAACAGGCTTAAAGTGACTAACAATAAGATGACCAATGGTTTAGAAAAAAGAGTGTACGATACTTTTTTATAAACTTAACGTAAATTTTTTTTTAATGATTAGTATCTCAATACTATTGCAAAGATCGCAAAATGGTAGGGGATTTTTCGAATCAGTTTAGCTCACTCTACATGCCCACGAGCGCATTACCATTGAGTATCGGATACGTTGCATAATTTTAACCTTATAAATATATTTATTATAATTATGTAATAGACGTTGTAATGTTTTTATCTCACAAATATTTCACCTATGTAATCATATTGCATTAAATATTGATGTTAATAATTTCCAAATACTTACTAAATACTAACCTTGAGATTAAGATATTCTCCAGCAAAGCAAAAGATGAAAACTTCCCCTATCACAGCAAAATAAGTCATAATGGTTTTTGCTATCGTAGTGACACTAGTATCAGTATAAAACGACTATTTCGGTAAACAATAAAACCAAATAAATTAACTGTAATATTGATTGCAGCACATTTATAGCAGTACTCACAATTATGACAATAAATCCTAGACTGCAAATAACTAAAGTATTCCAGAAAATTTGCATTAATGCAATAAATGAAAAAAGTTTTTCGATATTGTCAGAAAACAAAAAAATTCTGTTGTGTCTCTCAATCAGTATACCTAATGTTGGTGTGAAAGTTTTATGAGAAAGAGTTTTTGCCGAAACAGTTTTGATTGTTTTGAATTCTTGACATAATATATCGATTTGTCCACTTATGTGAAACACCTAAAATATATACCTAAATTTCTGTAAGATTCCAAGTGTTAGAAGTATTAGATAAGTATTTTTATAAATAATTGCTCAGTGTCAAGAAAAAAATAATAATATTGAACAGAAAAAACAAAATGCATAAATTGTTTATAAGTAATATTCAATTAATTATCAAATTTATTTATTACAGTGATATTAAATTAAATTTGTATAACATATAAATTGTATATTACTTATAATCAAAATTTATTTATTAAACATAAAGTATAATTTTGAGAATTTTATTTGATTGAAATTTGAGAATTAAATTTTATTCTTTGGACAATGCATGTCGTCACATTAACCAACTTTGTAAAAAATAAAAATATTTATAAAGTTAGACTTACTAGAGCAAAAATTAATGCGTTTAAAATAGAGATCGTGCTCGAATTTAACACCACGTGTAGAAACAGAGTTATGGCCAGCAGCTCAAAAGTCGGCGATTGTTGAATTTCAAAGGGAAATTGCATCTTGACAGGAAGCTGCCTCAAGGTATTGTTGTAGTCTTGGGACATATACACGAAACGAAATGCGTAACCGCCCAAGATGTAAAATGCCGCAGTAGTTGTATTAATACTGAACGTAAGATTAGAACAAAAATGCGATATATTGACTTTCATTGACATCACGTATAAATGTTGTTCAATATCGGCGCATTCGCGCCAATCGGCGTCCATAGCGGCCAGGAGTTGATGAATGACTCTGAAATGTGTTACTTTCTTGAACTTTAACTAAACAGATATGAAAATAGAAATAGTACCGTGTGAGACACTATAAATCATTACTCGAATTAAGATTTAGAGATATAATTAAGATACGTTTCGATTATAGAAGATCTAATCGCGACAACAAATATTAAGAAATTAATTCATAATTTTGTATCTTAAACAGGGATTGGATGAAGCTACGTTTGCAGCGACACAACATCTTACCGACGATGTGCCCAAAGACTGGCCACTTTGAAAATTGTTAAGCTGTAATATAAAGCCGTGGGTAAGCTATCGACGAGATTCGAAAGCTCGCTGATCTCGAAGTGCTCGTATATGTATCGATATTGGAAGTACTGTAGGATAAGTATACTTAATATATAAATTAGCCAATACGGAATGAAATACGATACACCCGGCCACACACCGAGCCACTGAAGGCCGATCTTCAACACCGGACTGACGGTACTCGTGATTATCATTCGTAAACAGTATTCGAGGATCGCGAAGAAATAAAGATAACAGTCGGCACATTTATCCGGCACTCCGAGAGAGAACTGAAGGAACACTGACAGTTTCCTCAAATGCAAACCTCGCAGTGCATCCCCCACTCGCGTAAATGTGAATCAATCGTCATTATGCATTGCGTATAGTATAACAGCAAATCGAGATAGAACTCATTATTTTTATGGACATCCTATAATTCTGTTGATAGTCTAAGAATTTATAATACCCATAAAGTAACAAAGATATCTTGAATGCAGAATGAACAATTCGATGCGTAATTATTAGTTCCTTTTTTTTTACAAACTTGTCTCTTGGCAACACAAATCCATCGAAAAGAAACAAATGTCCACTATATTCTGTACATCGGAAAAATCGTTAAACGTACAGCAGCAACAACTGCAATTATACATTAGGTATTCTAAGCGAACGGAACTGAAATTATATTCGTGCAGTTCAACCTCCGGTTTTTTTAAGAGCTAATGTGAGGGGAGAACAACAGAATGGGGATATAATGATGAGTAATTCTTTTTAATGACATTTCTGGGAATGTAATCGTGCAGAAAACTTGCTCGAGGAAGAAATTTCAAAATTAAAAACTTTTAAATTAGAGGTATTATAAACATTTTGTTTCAAATATGCCTATACCCAACGGAATATGCCAATACAAACTGAACGATACGATTCTCTAATGAAGGGTCAATGCCCGAGAGTAATGAACGTATTCCGCAAAAATATGGTTTAAAATAACAACATGCAAAGGAATAGTAATATCCAAAAATATTTACATTTTGTTATACGTATTTTTAATTTATCTAATTTATTAACTAATAGCTAAATAATTTAATAACCAATAAATAACAATTATTAACCTCTTAATAACAATTTAGTTTTTAATTTATTATGAATAATTTTTTTACTTACATTATTTCAGCAAATGTTAATTACATATTCATTTGTATCAATACATAACGTTCAGAACAGACATATATGATACTGACGCCTTCATGATCTAGAAAAATAGAAATACAGAGATATTAAGTTTAATCTACAAATTATACTTATGCAAAAAGGACACATATAGCAACAGATTTTAAAATAAAAAATATACATATAATATTTATTTATATAGCAAAATAATAATAATTTTATAAAATAAAATTATTCTTTATCGTAGTTAAGAATGCAAAAAGTTTGAAAAATTACACTGGTAAAAGTTTCAAATGACATATCCATCATTTTCCCTGCCGTGATTGCTAATCGCTTCTGAGCTCTCATTATTATGAATAACATTAATTTACTTTGACGTGACGGCAACTTATACCACAGCGATTCGTATGTCGCACTGGCAATTAATTTACTCTAAAAATAAATAGAGAAACGGCTTTTTCTATAATATTTATTTGTACCATCTATTTGATAAATAAAGCTTTTTTAATATTATAATATGACAATATTAAAAAAGTATTAGAAAGATTTAAAAGTAGAAGAAACAGTAAAGAGTAACAGAGAAAGTATGATAAAGAAAAAAAAATAAAGTAAATAATGAATGACATTGAACATTTTTATTTGTCAATTTCTGTTTTCAAAACATAAAAAGTTATTTCTAATAAAATAATCAATAGATGTTTTGCAATTTCAGAAATCTTTTATTTATTATAATTATTATATTATAACAGATATTACAACATTGTATTTAAAAGTATAATATATTTGTAAAATAAATATATTTAAAATATATTAAAATAAAAAATTAATTCTTTTAATAATATTTTATATACTACACTATATTGAAATATCTCTAAAAAAAACATGCTTTACGTTATTGTCAAACATTATGGCACCATAATTATATTATGACAAAACCTTGTATTAATGACTCTTTATTTCTTAAATATTTACTTACTTTGAGACTGAGATGCTCTCCGGCAAAGCAAATGATAAAAGCTTCACTCATTACGACAAAGTAAGAAAGAATAGTTTTCATGAATAGGAAGGTACCATTTTCGTTATGAATACACTAGTTCGGTGAACAATAAAAAAATTATATATTCGGTATTAATTACTGTACATTTATTACAGAACTTACAATTATGGCGAAAAATCCTAGACAACAAATAACTAACGTATTCCAAACAAATTGCATTAATGCAATAAAAGAGAAGAGTTTTTCGATGTTCTCGGAAAATAAAATAATTTTATTATGCTTCTTGATTAGTATTCCAAATAAAGACACGGTAGATTCATGAAGAAAAGCATTTTTAGAAATATTTTTAAACTCATAACACATTATATCAATTTGTCCGCTAATGTGTAGCACCTAAAATATACTTAAATTTTTGGAAAAATCATAATTATTGCATAAAAGAAATTTTCTCTATAAAAAATATGTTGAATACAATGAATAAATAAGATACTTTAATATAATAGTATAAAATATAAAATTATTCTAACATAAAAATTAATTACATTTCAAAACTTCTTACGCAGAAATGTAACAATTCGTATATAAAAAAATTTTATGTAAACTAATTTGTATTTTACAAATTATTTTACGTAAAATTTTAATACAACAATATCGATAAAAGTTATAATCCTACGTCATAAAAATTTATACAAAATAAGAATATATATATATATAAAATATAAAATTTACCAAAGTAAGAATCAATCCACTTAGAATAGAAAATGTGCAGACATGTAATGATACATGTATAGATATCAATACAAAAAGAAACTCAAACATCGGCGATTGTTGAGTCTCAAAAGGAAATTGTATCTTTATAGGAAACTGTTGTAAAGTTACGTTGTAATTTTCACTTAGTACGAAACGAATTGCGAATTCGCCTAAGAGGTAAGGTACCGCAACAATCATATTTATACTCAACAAAGTGTTAGAGATGAAATGTGCTATATTCGCTTTGCTTGTCATCATATACAAATGCTTATCGATATTGCACTCGCGCCAATCATTATCCATAGCAGTTAGGATTTGATGAAAAACACTGTAATATGTTATTTTAATCAGAATTTTAATTCGAAAGAAAGATTGCACTTTCTTTCGAAAGTTCAACCTTATCGTGCGTATCAATATCCGAAGTTTAAATAATGATATTAAATAATTTTCGATTATACAGTAAATCGAATCAACAAAGTGTTCAAAAACTGAGAGAAAATCTTGTTAATATTTAACACAGCGATTGAACAGAGTTAAATTATTATGTAGTGTAATAAAATATCTTACCGGCGATGTGCCCATAGACCAACCACTTTAAAAAATGTGAGACTGTAATTTAAAGTCACAGTCAAACCGTCAACGAGATTTGAAAGCTCGCTGATCTTGAAGTGCCCAAAAACGTACGAATATTGAAAGTACTGCATGATCAGTATGCTTATTACAAAGCTCAGCCAGGTAACAACAGAATATGAGACACCTGGCCAAATACCGAGAACTTGGAGACCAGTTTTCAGCGCTGGGCTGATAGAACTTGTGATTACCATTTGCCAATAGTTTTTAAAACGTAAGGAAATAAAAATAAGTGTTTGAGCATTTGTTCTACTTGAGAAAGAAATGAGAGAGCACTGTCCGTTTTTCTAACCGTATCCCCATTCAGTGCGTCCCCACTCAGAACGCACATGGATCAATCGCTATTATAGGTACATTGTGTAGTTACAGCAATTCAAAGTATCATTATTTCATACGAACATTGTATATTTCTTCGAAATATGTCTTATAATGTGTACCTTGACCATGTATAGTAACAAAAAATTGTGCATTGAATCATCTTTTCCCACTGACAATGCGATGTCGTCGAAAAAAAAAAACGGATGTGCACTATTTTCTAGATATCGCGATGATTGTTGAACGTAGGACAGTTTGAAAGTTATAATTACGTCTTGGGGGTACTCTCGACAACGGAAATGAATTGTATTCGTAGAATTAATCACAAATTTTTAAGAAGACAAGAGAATAAGAAGCGTCGTATGTCTCTGATGTATTAAACTCGTATAGCATAATGATGTGAGCAATTTCCTCTGTTAACATAAATATTGAATTTTTACAGAAAACACAAATGTGTAGGAAATTTTTTATTCGAGAACAACTGACGTATTCCGCAACAATATGGTTTAATGTAACGATATGCAAAGTAATAATAATGCAAAAAAATTAAAAATTATTTAAATGAATATCAGGAAAGACCGTGTAATGTTAACTAACAATTGAGATCTTAAAACGCCAGCAACGGTACAAAGCGAATCTTGGTGCTTCCATATAATATTACTTTAAAATTATTATATTTATTATAAAAAATTATTTGCATTTATATTAAATGTATAATTTTTATTTATGTAATTTATTAACTAATAACTAATAAATAACAATTTTTAATCTGTTAATAACTATTTAATTCTAAACTCATCATCAATAATTTTTTTAGTTATTGACTTCCATTATTTATGTTATTATTTCAGCAAAATTGTATTGCATTTTTATTTGTATCAATACATAACGTTCAAAACAGACATGTACGATACTGATGCCTTCATGATCTAGAAAAATAGAATACGGAGATAATAAGTTTTATTTACAAATAATATTTATGCAAAAAGGATACATATAGCAACGTATTTAAAAATTAAATATATATATTTTATAAAATATTTATTTATAAAACAAAATAATAATAAGTTTATAAAATAATATTATTTCTTATTGTAGTTAAGAATGTATAAAGTTTAAAGAATTACAGTTGTAAAAGTTTCTAATGACATATCCATCATTTTTCCTGCCGTGATCGTCAATCGCTTCTGAGATCTCATTATTATAAATAATATTAATTTACTGTGACGTGACGGCATATCATACCACAGCGATTCGTATGTCGCCTTGGCAATTAATTTACCCTAAAAACAAATAGTATTATATGCAATTCTTGTTTTTTTCTATCGTATTTGTTTATACCATTCGACATATAAAACTTTTTCTAATATTATTGCTAGTATTTAAAAATTATTAGAAAAATTAGTAAGTATTAGTAAAGAATAACAAAGAAAGTATGTCAGAGAAAAAATAGTTAAAAAGAATGACATTAAAAATTTTTTATTTGTCAATTTCTATTTTTAAAATATAAAAAGTCATTTCTAATAATAAAATGATCAATAAATATTTTGCAATTTCAGAACTTTTATAACGAATATGTCAACATTATATTTAAATATATAACATGTTTGACAAATAAATATATTTAAAATATGAAATAACATTATTTAAGAAAATAATTCTTTTATCCTGTTTATTATTAATTATTTTTTAAATGTTTACTTACTTTGAGACTAAGATGTTCTCCGGCAAAACAAATGATAAAAGCTTCACCCATTATGGCAAAGTAAGAAAGAATGGTTTTCGTTAACACGAAAACACCATTTTCATTATGAATACACTAGTTCGATAAACAATAAAAAAATGATATATTCGATATTAATTATTGCACATTTGTTACAAAACTTACAATTATGGCGAAAAATCCTAGACAACAAATAACTAATGTATTCCAAACAACTTGCATCAATGCAATAAAGGAGTAGAGTTTTTCGATGTTCTCGGAAAATAAAATAATTCTGTTATGCCTCTCAATCAGTATTCCAAATAAAGACACGGTAGATTCATGAAGAAATGAATTTTTTAAAATATTTCTAAACTCATAACATACTATATCAATTTGTCCGCTAACGTGTAACACCTAAAATATACTTAAATTTTTATAATTATAAAAATCATAATAATTTCATACGAGTAGTTCTCTCTATAAAGAATATATCGAATACAATCAATAAACCTGATATTTTAAAATAATATATTTAATATAAAATTGTTCTGACGCAAACATTAATTATATTTCAAAACTTTTTACGCAGAAATGTAACAATTCGTGTTCGTATATAACAAAACATTACGTAAAATTATTTATATAAATTATTTTACGTAAAATTTTAATACTGTAGTACGACTGTATCGACAAAAGTTATAATCTTGCGTTTTAAACTACATAAAAATGTATAAAAATGAAATTATACATATAAAATATAATATAAGAGTTACCAAAGTAAGAATCAATCCATTTAGAATAGAAAGTGTGCAAACATGTAACATTACATGTAATGATATTGATACAACGAGAAACTCGAACATCGGCGATTGTTGAGTTTCAAAGGGGAATTGTATTTTTATAGGAAACTGTAGTAAAGTGACGTTGTAATCTTCATTTAACAATACGAAACGAATTACGTATTCGCCTATGAGGTAAAGTATCGCAATAGTCGTATTTATACTCAATAAAGTGTTAGAGATGAAATGTGATATGTTCGCTTTGCTTCTCATTATATGCAAATGCTTGTCGATATTGCATTCACGCCAATCACTATCCATAGCAGTCAGGATTTGATGAAAGACTCTGCAATATGTTATATTAATCTGTCAGATTGAAAGATCGCACTTTCCTTCGAAGAACCATCAACGTTGTGCGCATCAACACTTAAGCTAAAGTTTAGATAATGAGTAATTCTCGATTATACAATAAATCGAATCAACGATGTTAAGAAACTGAGAAAAAAATCTTGTTTCTTGAACACGCCGATTGAGCAAAGTTGAACACATTACACACAGTGTAACAGAATATCTCACCGGCGATGTGTCCATAGACCAATCAATTTAAAAAATGTCAAACTATAATTCAGAGTCACAGTCAAACCGTCAATGAGATTCGAAAGCTCGCTGATCTTCAAGTGCTCAAGAATGTACGAATACTGAAAGTACTGTATGATCAGTATGCTTAACATAAAACTCAGCCAGTGAACGATAGAATACGAGACACCTGGCCAAATACCGAGAACTTGTAGACCAATTTTCAGCGCTGGGCTGACAGTACTTGTGATTACCATTTGCCAATAGTTTTTAAAACGTAAGAAAACAAAAACAAGTGTCTGCGTATTTGTTCTGTGCTGTAGTTGAGAAAGAAATGAGAGAGCATTGTCCGTTTTTCTAACTGTATCCCCACTCAGTGCGTCCCCACTCAGATGAACGTGGATCAATCGCTATTACATGTTACGTAGTATAACGATAGGTCAAGACAGAACTCATTATACATACCATAATTCTATGAAGTAGCATGTTTTGTCCACAATTGTAAAATAACAAAGATATTATACGATAACAGAAAAAAAAACAGTTCAATACTCGTCAATTTTTTTTCTTGTATTTCTGTCTCTTTGGCAACGCAATTTCATCGGTAAGAAACAAATGTCTACTACGTTTCCTGAAAATCATTAAAAACATAGCCGAGCGAAGATAATTATACGTTAGATATTCTTAGAAAACAAAATTAAATTGTATTTGTGTAGCTCGATGATTTTTTAAAGAAATGATGAGGGCAAAGAGAACAACAGAATTTCCTGATTGAGCCAAATAGCGCAGTGATAAGTAATTTTTTTTAATGAAAATGTTATTATGCAAAACTTTCTTATAAAGGAAATTTTATAAAAGCAAAAAATTTTTTTATTTGGAGATATAAAAATTAGTCACACGTACATACAATGAAATGAATGCGTACGACATTCAATTGAAGAATCAATGCTCGACGCATTGCACGTGTATTGCTTTTAAGTAAGAATATAATAAAATATAGAATATAATAGTAAACGAGCAAAATTATTTGCATTTACACTAAATTTTTTATATTCAATGTAATTTTAATTTGAATAATTTATTTAACTCACAATTATTAATAAGACAGTCGTTAAGAATTTATATCTTAATTAATTGTAAATATTTTTTTATTTGTCAATTATAATTGCAGCAAATCAATATCACGCATTTTATGAATATTAATACATAGCATATAAAACGGATACATATGATGCCGACGCCTTCATAATCTGAAAATATAAATTAAGAAATTTAATTGAAACTATAAATTGCATAAAAGACGTATGTATAGCATATTCCAAAATAAATAAGCAAAATAGAATAATTCCATAATAATTAAACATATTCAAAAGACTTGAACAATTACACGGGTAAACGTTTCTAATGACATGTCCATCATTTTTCCTGCCGTGATCATTAATTGTTTCTGTGACCTCATTATCATGAATAGTATAATTTTATTTTGATTTGACGGCATTTCGTACCA